TAGATCTACATTATCTGCAGTGATGTGAATTCCTACTCACTCGTTGAAGGGGGGACAATCCCCCTCACAAATTCCAAAGCCCGCTGCGGAGAATCAAAAAATTGTTTCGTTCCATCAATGCTGATCCGTAGACGCGCAGGGAAAAGGAGGCCGAATTCAATTCCCGCTCCTCTAAGCTCAGCCTTTACCTGGTTAAATGCCGCTCTCCGCTTTGCAACATCGGCGCTGACATCTGGGTAGAAGTGTATTCGCGATCCTTTGTATAACACCTGTCCCCTTTCTCGTGCCAAACGAAGAATCAGTTCCCTCATCTGGTAGTGATGCATTCGCACGATGAACGGCCTGGGGGCTTGATTAGCTTTCGGCGGGGGAGCTAGAGAGCGGTGAGCCCTGTCCACCTCCGGTTTTTTGGAGAAACTCTGTTCACAGAATACCTCGAGTAACAGCGTTTCAATGAATGCAGAAGGATGAGAACCCTCGGAGCCCTCGGGGATACCGATCACACGAATATTGTTCCTCCTGGATCGATTTTCCAAGTCATCGAGTTTGGCCCTCAGTTTTTCATTATCTTTCGACAGCACTGAGCACATAGATTCCAGGGCAGTAACGCGACCATCCACGTCGGTAAGGGATTCTTCCACATCCTTCAGTTTCTGTTCTTGCTCTAGTAATGAAGTTTTCACCGCAGAGATAGATGATTTAAGCTCTGCAAGGATCTCCACTCTGAGCGCCGCTACCTCAGATCTAATCCCGCCAAGGAGTTCTCTGATATCATCCTGGCTCGAGGCGGCCTCGTCCACACTCTGCAAATCGCCAGCAACCTCAGTAATATCGGCCGTCTTTTTAGTGTTGTTTCTCGGCATGATTCTACTGAGGATCGCGAATAGTAGTTCAAACTATGTCACCCAATAAATGTTGAATAAGTCGTTAAATAATAAGAAACGCGAGGAGCAGAAAACTTTACGACTTCTCACGCCGCCATCTTACCGGAAGTCCTCTCAATGGCTTTTTGATCATAGGTGTTATCAATCATTTAGTAGTTGTTGCTAGTTTGAGTTTGACATTTCAGAATTATCACTAATCTGTGTGTGCATTTTGCTTTAGAACAAAGCAAGTTGACTCATGAAACCATTTGTTCATTATATCGCAATTGCATATCGCAATCGCAATATTGACCTCAATAATCGCAATATGACATTTTCCCCAAATCGTGCAGCCTCTAATAAATAATGTTGAATGCACAGGGTTTCCGCGGGGCATTAAAAGGCATTAAAAAGCATTAAATTTGATTCTTACAGGCATTACATTTTTTTTATAGTTTTGAAGTGCATTTTATATACATTTATTTGAATATAGCCTTCATAATTAATAATTTGTCTTTGCTGTCGCAAAATATGTACATTCGTGTGTTAAATACGCTGGAACCTATTTGGTAATTGCTTCCGGCCGGAGCAAAAGTGCCGTGATGCGGAGGTGACGCGGGTCTGTTGTACAGCGGTGGACAGGTCTGAACCTTGAAAAAATGGGAAAGTGCAAATTCCAGCCAAAGTGGTTGGAAAACAAAACTTTTAAGACATGGTTGCACCCCGTTAGTGGTAAAAATGAAGGATTTTGCAGCGGTTGTAAAAAAGCATTTAAAGTTGTGTGGACAATGGGAATCAGCGCCGTAAAATCCCATATGCAGTGTGACGGCCACAAATCGGCGTTAGATTTAAATAGTACATTGTGTTTAATTTGTCATTTAATGAGATCTAATATATGTTGCTAGTAGCGAGAATAGACCCGACTGTTACACGCATGCACTTCAATGGTCCAGTAGCAGAACTTTTGCCAAGCATGTCAGAGGTTTTGGGTTCTAATCCGCAGTAAGAAGTATATATATTTTTTTCCTCATCAAAACCGATTGTTTATTAGTGGTTGTATATCAAGCACTGACATGTTTGTGTGCATTGTGTTTTGTGATTTCACCGTAACAAAAAGAGTCTCTCCGCAACGGATTGAAGCGCGTGTCCGAGAGAAGTGTTGTGCGCAAGCCACAACAGAACACAGGCAAAGAACGTAACGTTATATTGTTCTTCTATACTCTTTGATGCAGGGCTCTCAAGTGTCACGCATTGAGCGTGACAGTCACTCATTTCGGTCTTTTGTCACGCACACATTGTATTTCTCACGCTGAAAAACTATTTATAATATATTGAATATGCCGCAGCGCCCCAAATGTCTCTGGCCGCGCCGCTATCACTGTGGAACCGACAGGAATCAAGCGCGTCTCCCCTGCAGTTCTTACTAGTCGACCCTGCCACTTATCAGCCAATCAAAAAAAAGAAAGGGTCTACACATTAGCCAATTAGAAAATAGCACTATTGTATCTGGGTAAGATTCAAGATAAGTCATGATCTCCTGTTTTAATGTTACAAAAAATTCACAACTTGTTTGACACAAACAATGACAACTTGATTGCTGTTAGACAAACGTTTCCCAGATAATTAGCATTAGTTTTTCATGAGTGTCTGTAACTTAGACAACAGTTTTACAGCCTGTTCACTGACAACACCTGCTCAGAACAAGTAGTCTAGGCCTAGTCATATTTTCGTTATCACACGATGACTGTCATATTGTCACATTATAAACATCTCTCTTTCTCCAAATAGGCTTAATAATTTTATAAGCACTAAATAAATTAAAGTGTATTGCATACGGTAGTCGATGTTATAGGTCACTTTTAAAATCATGTCATATTTTATAATTATATCCGGGCCATGGATGCATTAATCATTGCATCTGTCTTTCAAAGATCTCAGGTAAAAAGCAATTAAGCATCCTCTCATTTGCCCTGAGAGGAAAGCCCCCTAAAAAGGCCAGGCTAGAGGATGCTGGCCCAGAGAAGGTGGTGAAAAGGGCCCATTAGAGGAGGAGACGGTGCAGGTAGAAGAGGAAGAGAATAAATACTTTGTATTTGGTTGAATTGTCAGTGCCATGTATCAAATCTATTCTTTTGCAAGTGTGAGCAATTATTAATAACAACAACAAAAACACTAATAATAATATTACTAATGAAACACCACCATTCCTGCGACCCGTCCTATACGCCACGAGATGTTTAAAAAATGGTGGGGACAATCGACATGTCCTACCCGCAAATTACACCTATGTGTTCCAGAAAACAAAACAAAATAAAAAACATTTATATTAGTCATGGGTCGTATATGGCATTAAAACATTTTAAAATGGCATTAAAAAGGCATTCAATTTAATTTGAAGATATCTGTAGAAACTAGGGATGTGCACGAATATTCGAATTTTCGATCTGTAATTATTGTTCGAAAAATAAAATACTATTCGAATTTTACTACGTTGCTTTGCTGGCCGTAAATGCAGTGAATCCATGATAAATCCCAAGCACTAACTCGCAGTTATAATTAAATGCACTGGGTGGCGCTGTGGAGTGTGTTAACAAGTTGTGTGTATTTGATCACATAATGTTGTCGTCTGCCTCGCGAAGTTTGGAATTACTTGAAAATGATCTTACTAAATGGAATTACTTTTGAACAAATTAATTAATTAATCTGAGTTATAATATCATCAACACAATGAGAAATCACATGAAATCCAAACAGTCGAATGAGGAAAGATAGCTGTCCATCACTGCATTCACGACTGCACGTAAGCGCAGCTGGACCCCGCGTGATCCGAAATGATAACTTATCTTATAGCTAAATGATTTTGAGACATATACTTCCTTTGTTTCGTTGAGGGAGACAGGTTTAAGAACAGAAAACGCAAAGTGCTGTTAGAAACTTAGAACACCGTTATCTTTGTGTCTCTGAAGCGTCTGTCAGCAAAGCGCCTTTTCTCACTCGAGCATAAATTGCTGGCCGCGCCCCTGCATGTGGATATTGTTTTTCTCAATAAAAACGTGAAACAATATAAACACGATAATCATATGCTGACTCGAGTGTGGGTGTACGTTCTGTACGATATCTGGCGCAATCTGCTTTATTAGGCGTTTTTTCCCCCGTTCTTGCTGCTTAAGCATGCTTTTATTAATGCTTTTGTTTTTTATATTTTTTGTTTACACATAGGCCTACTGTTTAATGTTTTCAACTAAAAGAAAACTTTAACATATATTGTAAGCTTGTTGTGTATATTGCCTAATTGTAAGCTTGTTCAGAAATGGTGACAAAAACGTGAAAAAATATTTAACTTAAAAAATAACGTCTTTTTCGTTAAACGTCATTTAAATAAACGAATATTCGATTTTTATGAGCCCGAATATTCGAATGCAATATTTTTGAAAAATGCCCATCCCTAGTAGAAACTCTGATGCAACAGGCTAATTAAAATTTAAGTTGTTGTAGAGAAAGATTGATCAAATGGTTGAACAGGGTAGAATATGCACCTGAGGGGCCAGTTGCATAAGCCTAGCCATTGTTAAGACGGTGTCTTAAAATCTAGTAGGACCCATGAACAGTTTGTCAAGGGGTAATCAGACTTGATTTTCAGTATCAGATTAGGTCAATCTACGTTTTCATGTAACTGATTTTAAAAAGAGATAAACCGCTAAGACTAGTCTTCAAAGTTAAACATACTTTTTTCTTCTTTAAACGGTTTATGTAACCAGCCCAGGTAGTATCCAGCTTATCAAGTCCTTCAGGCTGATTTGAAAACCTAAAACTAAACTCTGTATGATTGTGGCCCTCCATTTCAGGAGCTGAATTTGACACCCCTCGTCTAAATGCTTCAACCAAATTGTCTTCAGGATATTCAGTACAAGATAGAAAGCCCAAATTACCCCCTTTGACTTTAAAGAATAAACTTTATAAGCAGAGTCTTCTGCACTATGACAAGAAGAGATACATAAAGTGTGCATCTTTTGGGTCAAACTGATGAAAACTGATTCTCAGGTTTTTTGTTACTGATTGGCCTTTAGACTAATTTAAATGAACCTGACTCACCATTGCATTCATGTGCATTTTCTTTCTCTCTCTTTGTGTGTGTAGGAAGGAGCATCTGCTAGAAAGGCCCAAACACCAGCCATGCAGCCTGTTCCCAGACCAGGTATGGAAGAACTCCTTTAAGATTTAAGGAATAGTTTGCATAATTTGATAGCTATAATATTGCATATGTAGCATATTATCCGAGGCGGTTATTTTAACTTGTCTGTTACTTTTTAAAACCCAAACCCAACCTGCCCTAAAGCCATCCTAGGTGTATATGACTTTCTTCTTTCAACCGAACACAATTGGAGTTCTATTAAATAATATACTGGCTCTTCCCAGCTATGTAATGCCATTGAAGAGTCCCTGAGCTTTTGAAGATCCAAAAACCGCCATCTATCATAAAAATAATCCATATGACTCCAGTGAGTGGTTTAATAAATGCATTGTGAAGGGAAGTTATGGGTTTTTGTTAGAAAAATATCTATATTTAAATCTTTATAAACCATTATCACTGGCTTCCGGCAATAGAGTTTTCATTTTTGGGTGAACTATTCCTTTAAAACAACACAACATCCATCTAATCACCCAACTAAAGTACCAATTCGCTGAAAGATGCCAGAGATGATTTACTCATAATGTGATATGTGAGGAGTGTTCTGTTGCACAAGGATAAAGATTAAAGGATCGATTAGATTTTTTGAACTTGAGATGGCAACACACGGCACAAAATTTCACAATTTTCACACACATCATTTTAGATGCACAATCGAAATGTTGAGCCTGTTACGTTTATCTCATGTTACAAATGTGCGTAGTTGTAGCATGTGCATAAATGATTTCACATTTTCTGGCTAGAATAACAAAATGTCCATGTGTTTTTTTTCCCTTTACTTTAGTCTCTCAAGCAAGACCCCCTCCCAACCAAAAGAAAGGTACGTATGTCTTTAACAATGTGGATGAGGAAAGGAAATATGCTATTTTGAACAAAGCATGTTTTTATTATTTAGTCTATCAAATTATGGGGTTTTACACCTTTGTTGTCACAAAAAAATTGTTATAGTTAATATACTTATTTCTAACTTTGCTCTAAAATATTTAATTTATTTCTCATGATCTTTGCAGAGAGCTAGTTTGTTTTACAAATAATTCAGTTGGTGGGTTTGGTTGTTTTTTCCAGGTTCTAGAACTCCCATTATCATCATCCCAGCTGCTACAACATCTTTAATCACAATGCTCAACGCCAAGGATCTCTTGCAGGACCTCAAGTAAGTGCTCATTAGATGCTTGATTCATAGAAAAGTTAAGTTAATCTACATTAAAAAGCTAAATTAAGGCTGTTAAATTAAAGGGTAGGGTTGGCAATTTTCAGAGCGGCTAACGGTAGCAAGCTAGCTTTGAAAGCATGAGATCCCACCCTCCCTTCAGAGTGTCTCCAAAGTCACGCCTCCTTCAAAACATGAACCGTAGATTTTGCAAAACTTTGTTAAATTACCACGCCTCAAAGCACATAACATTACAATAATAGTTAACATGGACAGCTTACAGAGCTCGCTCTTGTACCACATGTCTGCTGCAGATTAATTTCAGCATTGATCATGTTGATATAAAAAATGCATAAATCTGAGTCTGAGGACATGAACTGCTACGGGTAGAATGTCACGGGTTTCCATCTTCTAATTACGGTAACCTTTTTCCCTTTTTTCTTCTTTATTTACGGTTATAAGCATTCAAATTCAGCGGAGAATTCTCTGTTATAAACCATAGACATCAGATATATATCAATATAAGCCAAACTTCAAAGAACTAGCAGCGAAGAAAACCGGTGTTGTCGCCTTGCGTCGGCTGCGTCTGCACCAAAAAGCTGCTCTTGAACACATGGCACAGACTATAGCCGACTGCAAACTGCGTGTAACGAATTAACTCTATATCAGCAGGTATCAATAGTCTATATTAGTCATTCAAAAGGAGAAACCAAACAAAGATACATGAGATATATGAATGGTTAAAGTCGAGTTGTCAAAATGTACTGACTTTGGTACCAAGTCGGTACTAAAAATTGATGATATCAGCATTTCCCTCTAGCATTTTGAGTGCTGTTGAATGGGTTCTTAAACCCTTTTGATTGGTCATTGTTGACGTGCTCAACATATATGTCTGTGATTGGCTACAGTGATCAACAATGACATATTTCTTCATTTTAAGCGGATCATGTTATGAAAATATTCATGTTTTGGAATGCTTGGGTAAGATAACATAACATTAGCTAGATCAGCCTTCCGTCTGTGCCGTCTTGACTGACTTGCTCTTTCATCACTTTCATTTTAATTCTCATGAACTAAGAACTCGTTTGCTAATCTGAACATCCAATCAGAGTTCCTACTCTCACCGACGGCCCCGACGCCGATTCTGAATCGGGCAAACTGCCGTCGACGTGAGGAACACACCGCAAAACCTAGTCCGACTGACACTCGCCGACCGTCGGCTTGGTGTGTCCCGGCGTTAACCGGAACCATTCTATTGTGACAGTTGAATGTTTTTACATTAACGTAATTAGGGGCCAAGCACCGAAGGTGAGGAGACACCTATTGTATCCGTTCCCATTCTTCTTATTATTATTCTTGGAGTCTATGGCATCCCATAGACCCGCTTGTTTGTAAGTGTTAAGTTAATTTTACCTGAATCTTAACTTAAGCTCAGTGCTTTACCAATAAATAAACATGCGATATTATTAGGTACTGCACTTAAAAATGCAAGACAATAGTTATTTTAGGATTAAATTAGTTTTATGATTTAAAATTCCTCCGACCATCTGTAGAACTAAATGGCACTGGTGCTACTGCTCTCTAATGTTGAGCCCTGATGCAATTGTGTTCTAGACCAGTGGTTCTCAATGTGGGGTCCGCGGACCCCTGGTGGTCCGTGAACTATAGCCAGGGGGTCCGCGAAATAATTTATAACAGCCTACCGCTTTTTCCCGACTATAAGTCATGTTTTCTTTAGCATCTGAAAACTTGCTATTTATTCCAACGTGACTTATATAATGCATTTAATGTCAAATAATAAAAAAGTAGGCTCTTAAAGGTTTCTATAGATAGATAATCTATCTATATTTCTTATGTCTGTGCGTCAAGTATTCGCTGTGTTTTGGTCGATTTTTGGGCACGTGCGCCAGAAAGGAGACAGAGACGGCAGAACGCGCATCCTGTTGTGTTCTTTATTTTTAAAAGGCATGACATTTTGTAGTCATTTTTAATGTATACACAAATAAAAAATAGACACTTTGCCGTTTTGAATGATGTACTCTTATCTGTATGACCATAAATAAGAGTATTCCTTTGTTTCCACTGCTGAGGAAAAATCCAAGTGTTCGCGCCGGCGTCTCGTGTGCGCGCACAATATGTCAGTTCTAGCACTGCTAATTTGACATCAAAACCTGTTCATTGTCAAAATAAAATACTCACCGAACTTATAAAAAGTTCTGCTTAATTTAATTTGTCTGTTGTACACTATGAAGGCAGTGACGGTCAATCATATACTGTCGACTTGCTATTGTTCCAATCTCATTTCTCCAAATGTGAAGATGCTGATACGTGTAGGCCTATATTGGGACTGAAGCATGAAGCTTTCTTTACATAAATAGTTAAGCATCCAAATGTTAGGCTACATCGCAAATATGGAAACTTTGGACCGAATGAGAGATGCACGAGCCCAACGTCTGCAGTTTCAGTTTCGATTCAACTTAATTCGTTTAGAATTGATGTTTTAAATAAATGTTGTCTGTATACTACTATTATTATTATTTGTATTATTATCTATTAATAGTATAATTTTTCATTCTCGTTTTGTTCTGAATACCATTAATTTAAGGATTTGCTGTGGAGTGAGGAGAAGTATGCCTACTACGCCTCAAGAGCGCAACAAAGTATTACACACTCAGGTGCAACTTATTTTCTGGAAAATACAGTAAATTATAAATTTGTGCATAGGGACAGGGTCGTATACCCACAATTGAGGTCCGGGCCTCTGTAATTTTTCTATGTGTATAATGAAAGTTGTGAAATAATTGCCTAATATTAACTCTAATTTGGTGCTGCAAGGATATTAAACATCGCGATGATAACTGACCTTCTCATCTGAGCTGCTTCAGCAGACTAACAGCGCTCGTCAATGTCAAAATGTTTGAGTCGGAGAATAAATCAAAGTAGGCGGGTTTATGTTCACAGAAGCTGCAAGCCGAGCGCGAATTTCCGCATGACGCTTCAGTTATTCGGTCATAAAGTGCGAGATAAGATGTAAATCGCTAAACTAAACAGCTGTTTTAGATAGAAGTTTTAAACGAACGACAGAAACAATCAGTTTGCAAAGTATCAACCGGGAAAGGAAATATAGGGGATAGCGGGGCACAACGTAAATCCCAGTTGTGCAAGTGGGTCATGTTGTCACACTGCGTTACAATGAATATGTTTTGAACTATGTTGTACGTTGTCAAACTCAAAAATTTGTTTATTTTTAATTATTTTAAAATGCCATTATTTTATATGAAAAAGTTCATTGTATTTTATTGAGAAAATATTTTTGTTTGTCTTGTATATTTGTTTGATTAGATCAGATAACATTTTAATCTGTCATATGGTCATGTTACAATGTGCCCCACCTATGGGACATGTTGTCACATTGCACTTCCATTCTTTCTGGGTATATCAAGAATAAAAGTACAATTTTTGGCCTTAAAAACACCTTAAAATGCACGTGTAGATCAAGAAAATCTAAAATTCCTCGGGGGGGCATGCCCCCGGACCCCCCTAGCAAGATCACTTTTGGGACCTCAGTATGCTATTTAGAAAACCCTGCATATGACCCTGGGTGGAGACTATTTGTGTCAAAATATTTAATTAACCGCTCCCACATTAACTTTAGGCTCAGTCACTGTTATAAATATGAGGGGGTCCTTGGAAATGTTTTTCCCCTGTAAGGGGTCCCTGGCTCCAAAATGTTTGAGAACCCCTGTTCTAGACAATGTCCACACTGTTCGTTCAATTGACATTTGTTCAGATACTCAAGTTGCAAATGTAAATTGGTCAAATGTATTTTATATCACTGTTGGAATTGTTTTACTTGACAGATTTCTCACATCAGAGGATAAGAAGAAGCTGGGCATCCAGAGGGACAACGAGGTTCTTCTGCAGAGACGTAAAGATCAGGTTCAGCCAGGCGGTGCCACGCTCAGCGTCACTGTACCCTACAGAGTGATCGACCAACCGCTCAAACTGGCCCCACAGGACTGGTGAGCCTGTCTTTCACAATATCTAGAAGCAGAGCCTATAATTTTAGGAGCTCCATGCGTTACAACAATTAACCTGGGTTAATTTTGGGGCATTTTTTATTAATAGAGCTGTCCTACCAGTGTTGGGTGTAACTAATTACTAAGTAATTGTTTCTCACGGCAGTTCATATACATTTTATGAGGTGGCTAAATCGTACGACCTCTTATCTGACACGCTCAGTTCAGTTCATGGAGTCTCTCCTATAGGGCTGCACGATTAATCGAATTTTAATCACGATCACGATTTTGGCTTCCCACGATCAAATTCGCGTGATCGAGCGATATTTTAAATGCGTCATTCAGTTCACAGAAAGCTTTTTTTTTGCCAATCTAGCGCACCGTAAACCAGTGTCTGATCACGTGCCTCCATGAGCCCAGGTGCGCGAGAGAGACCTACGGTCTGCGTGCGAGCGACAGTGCACGAGAGAGACCGCGAGTGTGTCTGCGTGCGAGCAACAGCGCGCGCCTACCGATTGTGTCGCGCGCGAGAGAGACTGAGTGACAGTGCGCGTGAGAGACCGAGTGTGAGCATTAGTAAATTGCATTAGTAAATTGGTACATACTACATATATATATTTACTATTTATACCATGGTCTGGGTGAATACTCGATTCTGATTGGCTGCAGGGTGTCCGTTAAAAAGTGATAGAGGACACCTAAAGTAGTTCTGGTGAAACTGCCTGTTTACCATTCGAAATTAATAAATAAATGCGCTGCCTACAACAGCTGTGTGAGTAACCATAGCAACAGGCAGTCAACGTTAGTTAGATATTACATAGCCTACTACAATGAGCGACTTCGTTCGTTATTTCATCTTCAGTCTCTCACGGACTGACGGAGCCCAGTAAGCCCGCAGACTGCTCTCGCATCGATGGCCTGTCACCGACTTTATTTGACGGCTCTCCAGTCCAGCATCGGAGAGTCGACCTACAGCGGTGCTTCGGAGGCTGTGGTTAGTGTAGACTAGTGTAACACAAAGTGTTTTATGTGCAATAAAAAAATAACTATGCCTACCTTTGTGTTTCATGAAAAAAAAAATGCATTTTTGAACCTGAAGGGTTCTACAAGCTGAGCGGACTATAAATATCTCAAGTTGCTAAATAAATCGTCAGGCAAGTTATTATTTGAAAAAACTAGATTTAGCCTAATTAAAATATAAACTAATGTTTTAAAAATGTTTTATTTGGCAAGTGACCATGGTATAAGCGGGTTAATGCCCTTCGAGGTGACCGTTGTCAGGTTTTAATGGACTTCGGCGGAGGCAACCGTCCTCCGCTGCGCGTCGGCCGGTTTACACCTCGCCGTCGTCCATTAAAACCTGACAACGGACACCTCGTCGGGCATTAACCCTTACATAAGAGGCATGGAAGTTCGATTAATGGACTCCAATAATCAGTCCTACAAACGTCTTGTTTTGACCTATTGTTTAACAAATAGAAATAATTTGAGCACATAAACTTTCACATGGAGAATTAAATAGATTAAATTTATGCAGTAAGACTTCACAACTAATCACTGACACTGTAGGCCTACCACAACATTTTACATTTATTAAGCGTCAAATAACAATGACTCTGAATTTCATCCATTAATCGAACTTCCATAGTGCAGTTCTGCCTTGAAATGTTCTCATTTGGTTACATTCTGTTATGGAATATTTGTTTTTTTATTGATTGTATATTTTGCGTGTTTTATTCACATCCATTATGCAGGTACAATGCAAGTTTATATTTTGCTTCCTAAAATAGATTTACACAATGTAAAATGTAAAATAGTGCCCTGTTGAAGTTTTGCTACATTTTCTTTATGGTTTTCTTTATTCTTTAAGGAGATGCACTGAATTTTGGTGAATAAGAGGACCTATTTTATTTAGATACACATACATTAGCAGAAATGTAGCACAATATGGATGTGAAAGCAGTTATAATTAGCCTATGTGGCAATAAAATTTGTTTTGGTTAAAATCAACAAATAATCGTGATAATTAATCGTGATCGCAATATTGATCAAAATAATCGTGATTATCATTTTGGCCCAAATCGTGCAGCCCTACTCTCCTAACGGCCTGATGATCTGAATCAGGTGTGTTAATAAGGGAGATGAACAAAATGTGCAGAGCAGTCCCGAGGACTAGGGTTTAGAACCAAAAACTAGAACAATTTTATTGTTTTATTGGCCCCTCCCGAAGCCATAAACTCTCTCAGCTTGAATGTTTAAACTGGTAAGACTTAAAAAGAAGTGAAAATGATCAACTTTAGTTATTATGCAATCCTGCCCCGATTGTGCAAGTGACAATTCCGTCATGTCCCGACTCCTAAACGCGAGAATGTAGTTTCAACGCTTGCCTTGTCCAACCCATTTTTTGAGAGACAGAGAGAGAGAAGACGCAGCACCGCTGAACACTCAACGCGGTTTGTGAAATTGCGTCTTGGAGAAAGGTTTAAAATGATTGATTTGATTTTATATTCTGTGTGGATTCATTTAGGCTACCTATGCAATCTACATGCTAAAGTGAATCAATGTTTGTGGGGGAATTTCCCGCCTTTTAAGTGGTAGACCTGCGGGAATTATTAAAATACTTAGTATTATCTTAGTATACTTAATATAACAGATAATACTTCAAGTATTGAAGTTACTAAGTATTTAAGATAATACTATTTATTTTAATAGTTAAAGTACAATAAATGTTCAAATTTAGATTTTTTTTTTTTAAGAATTGTTGAAAGGTGTCTTTTTAATAAATGCAACACGTTCCCAAAGTCATGTGAAATAATCGTGTTACATAATCGTGAGTTCAATACTGACGTAAATAATCGGGATTAAGATTTTTTTTTTTTTTTTCATAATCAAGCCGCCCTAGTAAGTTGTACCGTTTCTTTCAAAATACCTTCTGATTTTCACGGCACTGTAAATGGCTTCAAACTGCTTGAATTTCATGATAAAATTGATTAATATCAAAATTCCTATTCATATAAAAAGTATCAAAATATAGATTTATTGGATGGGAGGCACGCTACAAATTTTGTTCATGCATCAACTGAAAGAGTGATCTTGGGATTTAAGAATTGATTTGAGACTGTTGTTGTTGTTTGTTCACAGGGATCGTGTAGTGGCCGTCTTCGTCCAGGGTCCTGCCTGGCAGTTTAAGGGCTGGCCATGGCTGCTGCCTGATGGATCTCCTGTGGATATATTTGCCAAAAGTGAGATTGGTCTGGGGAAACACAACACATTTTTTACAATGAGGGTTACTTGAATTTCACACACATGGACGCAAGGAGTGGAAAGTCTGAAGACAAACATAGGTCCTTGAAAGTGCTTGAATTAAACAAGAACTCAATTTGGTTAGAGTAGCACGGTAAACTGATATTTCCTACTGTCATACTACAGCAAAATATATAAATAACTGGCTTAAAACCATTTTTGGGGGGGGGGGGGTGAAAGTACTGAATATAATTTTGTAGATATAATTTATCTCTCTTTCTCTCTACTATCCCTCTATCCTCATTGGTTTTTAAAAAGCTCATATGACCCTTAAATTTATTTTTAGTAGACGGTGTATGACTTAATGTTACTGCAGTAATGATAGACACAGGTACAGTAGCTCTTTGACACTGTCCAGATTAACAGTAACAAATCAACCTTTTGTCTATTGTGCTTGATATAAAATAAAAGGTGCTTTAGAAAGTCCTTGAAACTGGTGTTTATGACAGAGCAAACCCTGTACAATACACCACATTGGTTATCTACCTAGAAAGAGTGTTTTATGTCATGCTATTGTTTTAGTCCGAGCCTTTCACCTGAAGTACGATGAGGCACGGACGGACCCGAACGTACAGAAGTGGGACGTGACCGTGCTGGAGCTGAGCCACCACAAGCGACACTTGGACCGGCCTGTCTTCCTCCGCTTTTGGGAAACACTGGACAGGTCAGGATTGCAATTCTGTGTTCATCAATTGATGTTCTTTCACCTACATATAGCATAGCACACACTGGAGAGGAATGGCTTCTGACAGTGTACTGTTGTCACGCATACACTACCAACATGTATCAATATTTTTGTTACATCTTGAACTGTTTGAAGCCTTCAACATTGAGTGGAACAACTCATTCTTCTTTCTGTAAAAGCCTTCTTCAAGTTTACCCACACAGCTTAAACATTTAAAGAAAACAGAGTAAGGCTATTCCATGCTCAGCTAATTATTTAATTAATTATCAGCTAATTATCAGCTTCAGTATTTTTGCCAATTTCCCGACCAGAGTTTTGTGATTTTAAAATGGTCAAGACTAGGGATGGGCATTCGATTAAATTTTCTTAGTCGATCGTCGGGAGAATTAACGATCGACTATCGATTAATCATTAATATTTTTTATATATTAAAATTAATTATTTATTTAACTTTTTATAAATTAAAAATGCAATGAAAATACAAAAATACAGCGTGTTTTTCCTCGATGAGATCTTTATTACAAGATAATCAACTTGAGGCAGTTAAACTGGACATTCGGCTAAACTTGAAATATGCGCTGCGGTGCTCTAAAACCTGCAGCAACAAAACCTGCAGCTGCGAGTTGGCGTCCTCAAACAGAGACCCGATCGTTTGTTCCAAAATAATAATAAAAAAAATCATGTTAAACAATAACTTAACCAAAAACATAATAATACTCAATGTAACTCAAAACTATCCAAGGTACGAAGTCGAGAAAGAGTGTGAGAGAGATTAGCCTACCTAGCAACAAATTAGGCTACTTAACAAAGCCTCAAAAAAAATATCTATTAACTCACATAAAACTTCTGCACCAGTCTACTGATTTTTGTTGAGAAAGATAAGCATGTTGATGACATGGACTGGGCCTGGGGTCAGACGCGACCGCAACATGGTGACCGTCAAGCCTCGTTTATACTTTTGCCTGGCTCTGCAGCGTGAGTCTCCGCAAACGGACGAGGCGTTTATACTCCACGCGCTCGCCTGTAAAACGCCGAATACCGCGATGACGTCATTTTTGCCTCGCGCACCTTTGCTCGTGCTTGTGCGGACGCGTCGAGGTCGAGTGTAAACAAACTCTTCAGTCCAGCCGCCGAAAACACCCGCTCTGAGGGGACTGACGTTGCCGGGATGCACAGGTACCTCTGCGCTAACTTGACCAGCCCGGGAAACAACTTATTCCGTTCACTTTCCACCCGTCTGCAGTGGTGCAATCCAGCGGTTCATTGCTTCAAGGCTCACATTACGCAACGCAACCATATTACATTTACATTTAGTCATTTAGTCATTTAGCAGACGCTTTTATCCAAAGCGACTTACAACTGAGGACTAAACCAAGCGAGTCATCGTGAAGAGGCAAAAGCAACGCAAGAAGTGCACAAAATACAAAGTTCAGACATAGCTCGGAGTAGCATAAGCTAGGCAAGCGAGGATTTAGAGGAAAGGATTTTTTTTTTTTTTTTTTTTTTTTTTTTTAGTTTTATCGATAACAAATTAACATGATCGACGAAATTCTTAATGATCAATTATCGATCGTCGATTAATAATGCCCATCCCTAGTCAAGACCATTAAAAGCACCCACGAGCAGACAAAAATGGTAAAATATTTAGTGGTCTTTTAATGGTCTTGACCATATTAATCACAAAACTCTGGCTGGGAAATTGGCAAAAAATGCAAAAAATACTGAAGATAAATTAGCTGAGCATGGAATAGCCTTCCCCTTTGTTTTCTTTCAATGTTTAAGATGTGTGGGTAAACTTGCAGAAGGTCTTTCAGTCTTTCATAGACTTATTCACGTTTAAACACACTAATTTAAACAACATATTATTCAATCCATTACTTCTATATTAATTTATATATTAATTTGCTCAAGCAAGTGGCAAAAAACAGTTACTTTTCTTATGTTAAAATCACAAACATTAAATTAAAACAGTAACGCTTTACAATAAGGTTAATTAGTTAACATGAACTAAGAATGAACAATACTTCTACAGCATTTATTCATATTAGTGTCAACATTTACTAATACATTATTAAAATCAAAGGTTGTATTTGTTAACATTAGTTAACCCACTGTGAACTGACATGAACAAACAATGAACAACTGTATTTTTATTAACTAACATTAACTAAGATTAACTAACAATGAGCAATACATTTGTTACAGTATTTATTAGTGCATTACAATAAGGTTCATTCAAACTATTACTAGAGATGCACCGATTACAATTTTCTAGGCCGATTCCGATTTCCTTTTTTTTAAACCACTTTACAGCACACACAAAAATTTATTTTCTATCTTCTCTTTAATACATTTTGCATAGAAATTTTTTTTAACAGAGAATCGCTGTTATAATCGCTGTTAAATAAAATAGGACTATATAAATTACTCCTGGTGTGGGAAATCCACACACATCTAAAGTGCAGTGTTATGGAAGAACCATTTCCTTTTCACATCCAATATCCAACTAAAAAAAATTGATATATTTAGCAAACTAAACTTTTGTATGAAAACAGGTAATGGCAATAAAATAATATATAAATAACAAATAAAAATAAAATAAATATAGCCTACCCTTGCAGTATATATTTCTCAACACACACACACACACACACACACACACACACCTATTGCAATCACTTGTACATCAATGGCAAGTTATATTTCTCAAACAGTTTTTCTCTCTGACACATGTCCAGCCAGGCTAAACAGGACAAGTGGAGCATGTGCAGGGAAACGATTGGGAATAAAAACAAGTTATTTTCTATAAATATTTTTTGGTCTTAATTTTCTTTTCTGACATAGCCTGGCTACTTCAGTTCTTGTTAAAACACACCAGACGTGCAAATTCTGTGCATTTTGGGCACTTTTGGGGTGAAATCATATTTATTTTGTCCATCAAAAGTGTGCTTTCACTTAAATTGATCGCGAGCAGAATAGACTCGGCGCTGAAACCCGCGCTTCACTGTTGCTCACGCGACGCTCCTGCTTGACGCTCACGCGCTGCTCCGGCTCCCGGTGTGAATGCACTCATTGATTAACATGCACGCCGAAGAAAAACAAAAAACCCGCTGCTCACGCTTGCGGTGTGAAACGGTCGTAATTCACGAGGTTTCCTAGATGTGTGTTCCGTGTGGACGTGTAATGCTGATGTTGCGTGATGTTAATCATGCGGCGCCCGAGTGCATTTGACCGGCATAAAATCGGCATGTCAGACTGACCGGCCGGTCACCGATCATGGCCGATCACGTGAAAATCGGCCGATTCCGGTCACCAGCCGATCAATCGGTGCATCTCTAAGTATTACGATTAAAACTTATAATTGACAAATAAAAGCTGACTCATGATTTTTTCTTTAGCATTTAAATCTTTATATAAAAAGGCCCGCAGGTCGTACAGAACTTCAGCAACGAGTGTCATCCATTGTGCATCCCGCTTGTTCCGTGTAGTTCTCGGACCAGCAGCCTGTCACGTGATTATCTCTTTCTGTGGAGACGCAAGGCCCTTGCACACACACAGGCTAATATAAAAAACTGTACAGTGTATTTATCAATAAAAACAAACAAACATTAAACCGCATCAGTTATTTTTGCTACTCATGGTAAGTATTTAGCTGTTCTTTGCTTTACCCTGGGCTAAAAGTAAAAAGATGACTGTAAAAAATAGAAGTATAATTTAATTACCGTAAAACTTCAAATAATGGCCGAGTCCCAAATAGACGCCTGTCTCTTTTACACGCCTGGTGTGGCTGCAGGTTTGGGTAAATAAAGGCCGGTCTCAAATAGAGGCCGGGTCTGTTTTTTAGTTCCGGGTTGTATTTAACCTTCTAAAACCCGTCAGATCGTCCGCTTTTTGGCGGCCGCCAAAGCAAATTTGTGTCCCGCCAAAGCTTTTATTGATCGGCGAGTGATGTAGAATACAGGGTTGCCAGATTGGGCGGTTTCCCGCCCAATTGGGCGGTTTTGCAATCTATTTTGCGGGCAAAAATGGGTTTGGGCGGGTGGATAAAATTTGGGCTGGTTTCGGATCAGTTCGGCGGGTTTTTGTAGCCGAACCACCGGCACTTCAGACCCTTCTTTCTGCGACCCTCTGTTCAGCAGGCAGCAATCTCACTCACTCACTCACTCACAGCTCTGGCTGACGCACGTGCCCCCTAAACTCAAAACAGACACTCCCTCCACTACCTTCAACTCACCGGCACAGCCCTCCCCTCAAACACACTATTTCGCGGGGTTATTTTCCTTATACAATGTAATTGCAATCAGTTTATAAACCCTAGGCTGTAAACTGTAGGCCTACTCCTCGTTTGTCTATGCCGGCTGATTCAACCAGGCCAGCTGTTTAGGTGCAGGATGCACGGGATTCCTTGTGTTTAAACTTTATGAAAAACTTCACATATAAAAAAGAAATATAAAACAAAAACTGTAAAATGTTAGGTTATATAAAAAATAAAACATTAATAAATTATTTTATGATAAACGTATTACTGTCTTAAGTTAACTCATTTATAGTTATAAACGCAAATAATAATTGTCATTATTATTATTATTATTAGGCCTATATTTAAGCTAGAAGATGGTTTTATCCAAAAAAGGAACAAAGCAATTCGCCAAATGTCAGTCATAATACAGGTTAGACAATAATAATACAGGCAGGGCAAAGATTATCACAAATAAACAAGATTTTGACGCATATCCAAGTGTGTGTGGGAGTGTGGAGCGCGCACTGCATGGCACGGAGGCGCGAGCGCGAACACTTGCATTTTCCTGTGGAAACAACTTAAAATACCTGTCATACAGAAAATAATAATACATCATTCGCAACTACTTTTATTTGTGTAAACTCACAATAAGGAGATTCCCCCTTCTATATGAAGCGCTTTGAGTGTCCAGAAAAAGCGCTATATAAATGTGATGAATTATTATTAGTATTATTATAATAACAAGAAGACGTTGTGCTTTTGTAAAATAAAATAAACAATCAGGCGCGCTTTCATGATCTCCGTGAACTGGAGCGCGTCTCAAAAATGAACTGAAACAAAATATAGACTAGCCTACCCAATAAAGCTTGAAATGTCCACTTTTAAAGAACCAATTCGAATCGAAAGCAAATACCGTCTGATTATGTAATCCATATGAATTTCTCTCAAGGTATACATTTTTTTCCATATTAATTTGTGAATATTTTAAATGTTTAATAAAGGGGCAAGAAGTCATATACAAAAATAATAAAATACGTCAAAATTTGCGCAGCATTTAGTGTATACAGTTCAAATTAAATTGGTGTTCAACTTTGCATTTTAAAAATACAACAACCGTTTATTTGAGATTATCCATTACAGGTTTAAAAAGGAAAAACGAATGGACGCAAAAGTACACGGACCAATGGGGAGCCTAATTTTAAAGCTTGTTTGATAATTTCAATGCGTTTAAATGAGAAACAAGCCAAAACCAAATTTGGGCGGTTTTTTGTGCATTCTCGTGGTTTTTGACGAGGTTTTGGGCTGGAAAACCTTGCTAGCATCTGGCAACCCTGGTAGAATAGAATGACTGCTGCGCTTGACAGGGCGCATAACGAGCAGAGAGAGAGAGCGCCCCGGCCGCGCGCGCGCACTCTCACGTCTTCAAACAACACGAGCGCTGTCTTGCTCTCTCTCCCTCGCGCATATTAATCAAAATCAATTGACACGATAGTAAAAGGTCGGAAGACCGCAGTTTCACGTGGAGCATTTGGAGATTTTTAGAGATTAGAGACTCTAGGCCTACACTCAATGAACAACATCTCAACACCAAATTATAAAGGCCGGTCTCATAGACGCTTGTCTCAAATACAAGCCGGTGCAGTTCGACGATTTGGGAAAATAAAAGCCCGGGCTATTATTTGAAGTTTTACGGTAAATGCTTTTATGATGAGATGATGAGACTACATTTTCATGGCAATCTGTGTTAATTTTGACCACGTACTGAAACGTTTGAGTTTTGAAACTTGCAGGATATTTATATTGTACAATAACCTCTTGTTAGGGCCCGAGCACCGATGGTGTGAGGACCCTCTTGGAATTGCTCTGTTTATATGGAAATTTAGATTTCTCAATTCATAACCTCTTTAAAAACGTATTCCTGCGGTACTGAAGCTGAATTTCCAGCATCTTTACTCCAGTCTTCAGTGTCACATGATCCTTCAGAAATCTTTCCAATATGCTGATTTGCTGCTCTAGAAACATTTCTGATTATTATCAATATTAAAACAGTTGTGCTGCTTACTATTTTTGTGAAAACAGTGATACTTTTTTTCCAGGATTTTTTTTTAAATAGAAAGTTTTCATTTAAAGTAGAAATCTTTTGTAACATTATAAATGTCTTTTAGTGTCCTTGCAGAATAAGTCTTAATCTTACTGATCACAAACCTTTGAACGGTACTGTAAATCATTGCGTTACTTTTGAAGTAAAATTGTTGATCACATTTCTGTTTCTCTTGACCTACAGTCCACATCAAATAATTGAGTTTCTGGGGTTTTGGTGCATGTAAACATGTTACATGGTGTTTTTTAATGTTGCATAAAGTTTCTTGTTGTGAGAATGAGAATTGTTTGATTTCAGTTCAACAGTTTGATGAATCTGTTTTAGGTAATCTGGCTAATGTAATGCTTGAGAAATGAAACTTCATATTGTCCAGCTCAAATAATAATTTCAGTAGAATTCTATGGCTAATTATCCATATATTTCCCCTACAGATACATGGTCAAACACAAGGCCCATCTGAGGTTCTGAGCCTGCTGTCAGCTCATCTTCCCTCCCTCCAGAGGCCTGTCAAGATGGACTACTAGACCCCCGTTCCTCTCAGCCCCCCTGAAAGCACTTTGCATTTCCATCTGCTTCACCTTCTGCTGACACCAGTATGATTTGTAGTCTCCTCCTCCACCTGGAGATGAACAGGTCAGGGTGAGCAAGAGGAAATTTGGATGTTTGGGTTGGTCCTTGTCATGTTTTCTCAGTAGATTTGTATTTTTCAATTGTAAAGCAGTTGGTATTCAAGGCAGATTCAAAAGGAGATATTGATGCTTTTTTCCCCCTCTTTTTTTGTAAAAACATGAGCTGGATAATGGAGAACCATTAAAAATGGTGACTCGCCGATATGAATAAAATGACTTCTACGTCTAAAAGCTCTTGTAATAATCGATTCACTTTGTTCCTTTCTTTTTTTGTCCTTTTTCTGCCTTCTGTTCTATGAAGCGTAGAGTAGTGCATTGAAGTTCACTGCACAAATGCAAATGGTAAATTTAAGTCAGACTAGAAGAAGGCCTTGTGGTTTAGGGTGAGATGCCCTTGTTCAAAACCAACAAGACCACAAATAATAATCAAAATATAATTATTAAAAAAATAAATATCCAGGATGCTACGGTTATATAAAATCTGTACTTCAGATTGTTCATGGTCAATATGATCTGTAATTCTGCAGTATATTGGAAAATTTGGGAACGTTTTACCCTGAAACCCAAGTACTGCTTGCGTCTAATTGCTATTTTTGAAATGGAAAATTAAGTTGATTCCATAAGGCAAAGTCGGTTATGTACAAGGGTACACTTTTTGTTTTCCTCTTCTTTTTTTTTTCTTCTTTTTTTTTGGTTGGTTGGTTTTGTATAAATGCATTTAAAAGTAATGTTTGTTTTTAAACATTTCTGTTGAATGTGGATTATTATTAAATAATATTAAAAAGTACAAACAAGTGGTGATGCATGTCTTTCCTCTTTCCTTCATTAGAGCCTGTAATAAGTTTGCAAACGGCAAGGCTTACACTGGATGTGACAAATCCCCAACAGTAAACCTATTTCTGACATATTCTATGCACTTGCGCAGTGCTACTTCTGACAACTGTAGAAATGCAATTGGAACTTTTGCGCTGAAGTGTAAACGGCCTCAAGCTCAACAACGGTTATGCCAGATGTAGATTTGGTGTTACAATATACTTACAAACAATACTTAATACTAGTCATACATTTTTATTTTTGTTTTAGAAGTACAAAAGGTTTTGTTCTCAATGTGAGGTCACAGTTACCGTTGATTATGAAAATTATAAGCAGTAAAGTCAGAACTGGGGTTTAAACTCACAATTGGAAGAAATAAAGTCAGAATTGTGAGAATCTCAATTGCAAGAAAAAAATCTGAATCGTGATATAAAAATGACCTTTTTCATTCCGTGGTGGAAACGAGCTTCCATACCTACATCTCAAACTGCCCCATGGTGATTTGCCATGTGTCACTAAAATTTGTATTATTATTAGGGGTTCAAGCACGAAGTGCTGAAACCCTATTGTTATTGTTAATTTTCCCATGATGCAACATTCAGACATAAAACTGATCGGGCAGAACGAACCGTAAGTCGTAGAGCTTTGAAACTTTGGGGGCTGGTAGTACTCACACCGCCTACAACGTCACCAAGGCCCGCCCCGATTGGCCCATAGGTGGCGCTACAGCGGCCAAAAGTACGAAACGGCTCATAACTCCTCAACCGTTAGGCGTAGGCTCAAGTGTCTTACATCGTTGGAATCCTTGGCTCAAGCCGGACAAGATACCTGCCTCGGATTGGCTCGTCACCCTGGGTACATTTTCGGGTATTTTGGGTTTTTCCAAAAACCTACTTTTGCGAACTAGTCCTAGGTTTTTGGCCCGGCCGGAACCAAACCAGTGCAGCGAGATTCTATGGAGTCTGAATGTCAATAATTATCAAAAAAAAGTGGAAATTTCGGTTCACGGTCCCTAAGGGACGCCAAAAAATTTGGGAACGTTTTACCCTGAAACCCAAGTACTGCTTGCGTCTAATTGCTATTTTTGAAATGGAAAATTAAGTTGATTCCATAAGGCAAAGTCGGTTATGTACAAGGGTACACTTTTTGTTTTCCTCTTCTTTTTTTTTTCTTCTTTTTTTTTGGTTGGTTGGTTTTGTATAAATGCATTTAAAAGTAATGTTTGTTTTTAAACATTTCTGTTGAATGTGGATTATTATTAAATAATATTAAAAAGTACAAACAAGTGGTGATGCATGTCTTTCCTCTTTCCTTCATTAGAGCCTGTAATAAGTTTGCAAACGGCAAGGCTTACACTGGATGTGACAAATCCCCAACAGTAAACCTATTTCTGACATATTCTATGCACTTGCGCAGTGCTACTTCTGACAACTGTAGAAATGCAATTGGAACTTTTGCGCTGAAGTGTAAACGGCCTCAAGCTCAACAACGGTTATGCCAGATGTAGATTTGGTGTTACAATATACTTACAAACAATACTTAATACTAGTCATACATTTTTATTTTTGTTTTAGAAGTACAAAAGGTTTTGTTCTCAATGTCAGGTCACAGTTACCGTTGATTATGAAAATTATAAGCAGTAAAGTCAGAACTGGGGTTTAAACTCACAATTGGAAGAAATAAAGTCAGAATTGTGAGAATCTCAATTGCAAGAAAAAAATCTGAATCGTGATATAAAAATGACCTTTTTCATTCCGTGGTGGAAACGAGCTTCCATACCTACATCTCAAACTGCCCCATGGTGATTTGCCATGTGTCACTAAAATTTGTATTATTATTTTATTTATTATTTCATGCCTTGGTCGAAAGGTCCGCTCACACTTCACTTTTTGTTCCACTGAAATGGATGAATGCGGGAGACGGGACATGGGACATGCAAGCACATTTCTCAGTGTTCCAATGGTTTGATTACTACAGATATGATGGACACTTTACTATCCCATGAGGCCACGGGAGAGGATTTGTGAATGGCAGTGAAGTGACGTAACTGACGCTGGTAGGTCACATGATAATGAGCACATGACAAATGTAGTCATTCACACTATATTAACATTCTTTTTTAGTGGCTGTGAAGTAATTACTTATTCAAAAAAAGTACCTACTCAAGACCATGTGATTTCGGATGCAGCCCCAGAGTTGATATTTAACCCTGATATTTGTTAGAGCTGCATACCCAGAACCCAAATCTTCCCTACTGTCCATGCGTTTTACAGAATCAGCCTCATGTTGCATCCTGCTACTAGTCTTTCATTTAGTCTGTGTGGCTTCAAAATGAAAGACTGATCCGCACAGCCTGTGGCTTCAGCTGTCACACCGAACCTTGATCGGACATACTCATTTAAAAGGCCTGAGCCTAAATGTGTTGTCGTCATGATTGCTGCCTTTTTGAAATAATGAAATTGCAAGAATTTGCATTTTTGGGTGAAATGTTCCTTTAATGAAATGATTGACATGCAGTTTACGTTGGTAGATAATATTTATGGTCTTTATGGGTTGATTACATCGTCATTAGGTTCTGTATTTTAAATGAGAAGTGAGAAAATGCAGATCATGCATTACTGCAGTCAATAGGAGAAGGAAGTGTTAAAAACCAGCAGATGCTTAATTTGACTTCCAGCCAGACATGGAAGATCACTTTCTGTGAGGCACGAACAAATATGATAATGCAAAAACATGAATGAGACATGCATTATTCTGAGCCATGTATAGATTATACATTAAAGGTTTGCAGCTAGTCAGAAATGGCTTTCAGATCTGAACTGATGTTAAAGAACAAGTATAACTGAGATCAGTGTAAATAAACAGCTGTTGTAAAAGTGTGATCTTGATTCAGAGCTGATTCCTCTCTATTATGTGTGTACCGCTCCTCATGCTGTTTTTACGGTTGGCAGCACCGTTGAGCTCTAGTGAGATGGGATCTTTACGGATTATGTACCTGAAAAATAAGAAGAAAAACATAAAACTACAGATTTATGTAAAAGATTCGATTCTGCTCATATTGCAACCTAAAACCAACCTTATAAAATAAAGAAAATAAACTTATTTATACAAGAAATTGTAAAAAAAAGGAGAAAAGAAATTAACTCCAATACAATTCAGACCTTTTTTTTTCATAGAGATCTTGTTTTTATGACAATTAGGCAAAAATTTTCAGAGTAAAAAATTGTCAGACTACTGTAATGCTAAAAGAAATCAAAAATATATATTTTGAATAATGTATGCATAGTATTTACAATGCCTGACCAAAACAAAAGAAATTCAGTCTAATATTTTATTGGACCAGCTTAAGCTTTGATGTATTTGCCATGGCATCAATTCGATAAGCTTGTGCAACAATTAGTTTTCACTGTTATGATAATACTCAGTTTCGTCAGGGCGTTACTTTGTCAATTAGGAACTCTTTGATACCAATCTTTCATTTGAAAGTCACGTCGTTTCTAGTATCTGTAAAACTGCATTCTTCCATCTTAAAAAATCTAAATGTCCAAATCTGATGAAGGATCTGCGCCTGGACACGACAACGCAGTCCTGAAGTGTCTAGTCTCTCCCCTGTGAAGGCCTCCTTCCCTTCTCTTTACATCTGTACAGATAAAACGTTGTCAAAATGATTCCAGTTCACATGGACGCGCAGAAACGACTAAAAAGTCTGTATTATGCACAATAGACAAGTCATTTGGTGAGGTATATTTGTAAAGAAAGACTACACGCCTGCACGCATATCTATTCAAACACGCATATCATAGACTAAACCCGTAATACGCATGTGCACGCCGTCAGCGTTTACGCGGAGATGATAACGTTTTTAAAAAATGTTCAACGCTTACACCTGGAACCTATTTTAAGGCTTGCGTTCTCGAGCCACCAGGCACTGTTGTTGTGCGGATGAGCGGCCGGATCGCATTAAGGGTTTTCTGTATGAACGGTGTCGTGCTAGGTTAATAACTAATGATCATTGTGACGGAAGTGAATCAATTAAAACTAACTTTAGCTGGACAGTAACTTTATTCTAGAGCTGCATTCTGAAGCATTCTTTTCCCAAATAGCCCACTGATCCCGGACAGCAACATCATGTCAACCCAGATCCGGCCCACATCTGGTACGCATGGAATCCACCAGATGTGGCCCAGATCTGGACCGACACTATGTTGCTGTCTTGGTGAGTGTTTTTCTTAAGGCTACACATCTTTTTAGTCCCAATCCCCTGAGTTATCTTCGCATTGGGTCTCATTCATAAAACATTTGTAAATATGTGAGTGATTTGCGCGTGAAGAGACCTTCCCGAAAACTCTTCTCCTGATTCACAAATACTTCGTAAACGTCAGATGTGAGAGTGAAATGTGTGTGTGTGTGTGTTAATGAATTCCAATCAGTCGTAAAATGGGACGCGCGTGCACGCTCATTCTTAATTACCATAAATCCCGCCCATTAAATCCGACTGACAACTATATATGGGCATCATATTCCCATACGTTGCTTTTTTTATTAAATATGGGAGCATAAAGCAGTGTTGCGGACATTTCAATTCGTTTTACATCATATTATGACACCAAACGAAGGATTTCAACATGTCTTCTCAAAAGCGAATGAAAAAGAAAAAATTTTCAGATGCTGAAATTGAAGTTTTATTATCAGAAGTTCATTCAAAACGCCACATTTTATTTTCAAGCGTACATAGTGGCGTATCAGGTCCTAAAATAAGGAAGCTTGGCAGCATTACAGATGCATTGAATGGAGTTTCATCTGTTAATCGAACAGTCCCAGAAGTGAAAAGAAAATGGTTCGACATGAAGCTTGACTGGTTCACTTCGAGAAAAAACGCTATTACTGGCTCTCATAATAAAAGTAAAAAAAAAAAAAACTTTTTTTCAAAATGCTGTGTAAATATATAGGCCTACCCGATTAAGGTTAATTAAAATGCAGCAAAACGTTCGGATGTTAAACTCACTATTTACGCGTGATTGGGAGCAGGTGTAGATTTCTTGTGTACCAACTAACATTTGGAAAATACAAACATTTTAATGAATCCGAAAATTTACACCAGAACCACTTTACACACGATTTACACAAAATTCATGAATGAGACCCATTGTGCTTGTGGAAATGCTCTTACTTTCACTATTAAACATAGCCGTGAGTTCAACTGTTAATTTTACTGTTGATTTGATTTCACCAAATGTTTAAATGATCTCCGATTTTTCTTTTCGGACACATTTCTTCCTCAGAGATGACGGTTCACCACTATCCTTCCAGGTTTCAACAATGCGTTGGTGGACAGTTCTTAAACCAGTTTTAGTAGTTTCAGCAATAGTTGTTTTCTTTGCTTGATAAAAGACGATAATTAGACCCTTCTGAAACAGAGTAACATCTTTTCCATGACCAAAGGATATGTTTTCCTACATGGTTGTTTAAAAATGAGAAGCTACGCACTGCATCAGGGTTAAATGACTCATTGCCAGCTGTAACGCATTAATAATTCCAGCAATTATCCAATGAAGACTCTTACCTATTTACTTCTAAAAAACTATTTACTAAGTCCATGTGGTCACCTTTTTTTGGCCAGGCAGTGTATGTAGTTGTACTGGATTTCATTTTAGCATGATGTTAATTAGTCTGTTACAATGCAAAACAACTTCTAAAATATACATAAGTCTATAAAAAAAAAGAAAAAAGTTTCTTTTAGCAAATCATAAGTTCTTAAATGTTTCTTCCCTATGAAGTACAAAAGATTTAGCTTCACTTACACAATGTCATTTAGCTCCAGCTGTGTATCTGGTGACGGGTTGATTAAGGCATAAGAGTTGCTACTCTGGTTAATATTCAGCTCATCTGGATTGAGAAACAAAAATGTCAACAGAATAAAAAGTAATTTCAGTCATAAAAATATGTTATTGTCCAGAACCATGCCCTAGTAGTAATGAGCCACTCAACTGAAAATATGAGGTATAAAATCAAATGAATGTTTTTAAAAAGCTGAATGTCACCACATTATGCAAATTAGTTTTATATTTTGAAATGAAATTTTGCATAATACAATTTTAGTCAAGTTTTAGATTTGTTTTTTCATACTGCTGTGAAACCTGCATGCTAACAATTATTAGTGTGTGGACAAATGTTAATTGTACACCCTGGTTACAGTTCTCAAAATCAAATCAAATAAAAAATGTATTTCAAATAACGCATAAAAACATACTAATTCATTCTGCACATAATTTCACTGTAAAATACGACTCGTAAAAGGGTGTTTTACCAAAGTTGGTGTCTGGTGTCTCACCGAATCCCCTCGTGGAGAGCCCCAGGTTTTTCATGCGCTGCTTGACCAGCTCAGTAAGCTCCTGTCTCTCCGAGCATGAGGGCAGGACGTCCCGCTGCTGGCTCGATCTGTCTGCATCACGCTCCGCGTGCCACGGCCCCAGAAGATTCGAAGCCCACTGCAGGCTCTTTCGGCGCAGAGATTGAGTGTGTGCATTGCTGTCTGGGAATTCACGCTGAAGATCCTGAGGTTGCTCCTCCTCTTCAAAGACTGACATTTTGTCTGACGTTTGGGATTGAGGAGACTAGAAGAAAGAGACTGATTGCTTTAAAATGGGAAGCAAAAAAAGCCCTGTTATTGCACGTTTTTCGCTTTTCAAAAGGAATATTCAAAAAAGTATACATTTTCTCTTTTTAACAAACTTTTACACAAATTATTTTCAAATTACTCTTGCTATTAAAGTTACAATTTGAATTTTAAATGATGAGAATTTTTTTTAGAAAATACCAAGCCCCACATTTTTTTAAATTAATTTTCCATGCTGCTTAATATTTTTGTGTAAACCGTAATACATTATTTTTCTTTGATGAATAGAAAGTTCAAAAGAATTAGAAATTTGCCTTTATTTGAAATATAAATCTTTAGATGCCTTAACTGTCACTTTTTAGATCAATTTAAGACACCATTGCTGAATAGAAGTAGCCTATTCATTTCTTTCAAAAACATTTTTAAAACCTTACTATTGGGTAGACTATTGTGTTGCTGGTGGATATTGAGCAGACATAAGTCGTCCGGTCAGAGACGAAGTACTCTTTAATGGATTGAGGCTTATAGAGGCATTTACAGTCTTAGAATTAGATTGAGTAAACAAGTGAAGTACAAGTAGTAGAGGGTATGGTAGAGTAGTTTGGAGTGTAATGTAGTATGAGTGGTTCTAAACAAACAGAAAATAATAATACTAAATTAGTAATGAACAATAATCACAAGAATTAACTCAATATGGCAGTTATACGTACATTATGTACATAGTTATACACATAGCAATCGATTCAGACATGTAGGAACTAGATTAGCACTCAAGAAAAATGGCATCACGTTCTCTGACACGTGAGCTCACGTGAATCGATACATATGGTTTAAAATAATGTTAACAATCTCCGTGTCACGGTAAATAGAACATACACATACCCAAATTGACTCATAATTACAATATTATACATAAATATCTATGTATAGCTGTCTCTGTATGCTTTTACTAGCGCCGTAGATATGGATGATGTAATAGACAATGGGTGTTGCGTACATACGCGATTATAACTAACTACACGCAAATACAATCGAACTTACATTAAAATTACAGCTCTTTAAAGATAATGAATAACAACAAATCACTCACTTGTATATGAACGCACTCTGCAACAACAACAGCAACGATAACAGCGGGACACTCGCAACCTCTATACGAGCCCTCAGAACTGCGTTCTATTCATATTGAACCGTTAAAGGGAAAAATACTGAGTCATCATAGTAATGCGTCCTAAAGTCACAAGGGGGCGCTAATGTCTCAATATATGCATAGCAGGCCTTTTCAACAGCCGCCCCCACATTTGCGTTGTAAATGTGCAACTCAGAAAAGGTATACCAAGTTAGGGATAGTACCAAGGGGTACTCAGTCCTGTAGAGCTGGGAGGCTGATGAGACGGGTGATGGGACGAAGATAGGTTTTCTTCTTGACTTCCACTTCGGCAGCCCGGGTTCTCCCATCTTCTCCTGGGAAGACTTTTGTCACTTGTCCAACTGGCCATAGAGCTCGGGGTAATTGATGATCAACAATCATTACTACTGTTCCAGGCTGCAGGTTCTCTGCCTCTCTGTGCCACTTCTGGCGGACTTGTAGTTCTGGAAGATAGTTGCGGAGGAAGCGTCTCCAGAAGTGGTCTGTTAACAGCTGACTGTGTCTCCACCTCCGTTTGCTCAGCAAATCTGATTCGGGGTATATTACTTGAGGTAAGGATGCGTCAGGCCGCCCCATGAGCAGCATGTTGGGAGTAACCGGATCAGGGTCCGCTACGTCTGAGGATGTATATCCGAGTGGCTTTGAATTGAGAATGCCTTCGATCTCAACGAGCACAGTACGTAGGACTTCTTCCGTCACAATTTGTCCCCCTATAGTAGAACAGAGAGCAGACTTCAGTGATCTTATCTCTCTTTCCCAACAGCCTCCGAAGTGTGGAGCGCCTGGGGGGTTGAACTTGAAACTAATCTGGTGGCTGCCTAATTGCTCCTGGAGGGAAGGATGGAGCTCAGCGAAATCTTCTTGTAATGCTCTCTCGCCACCTCTGAAATTTGTACCTTGGTCCGATATGATCTCGAATGGCTTGCCTCTGCGAGATATGAATCTTCGAAGGGCCATTAAGAATGAATCTGTGTCCATCTGGTAGAGCAGGTCAAGGTATACAGCTCTCGTTGTCAGACACTTAAATATGACCCCCCATCTTTTCTCATGTCTGCGTCCAATCTTGATAAGGTAAGGGCCGAAACAATCCACCCCAGTGGAGTAGAAGGCCGGTTGAAGCAAACGCAGTCTTGAAGGAGGTAGATCTGCCATGCGGGGAATGCTGGGCTGGCCTCTCCACTGTCTACAACCTAAGCACGTTCTCTGATGATGCCGAATAGCTTCTCGACCTTTCAATATCCAGTACTTACGACGTACTTCTGCGAACACCCTCTCTGCTCCTGGATGGTGTAGAGTTTCGTCGAAGTCCTGGATAAGCAGTCTGCTCAGGGGATGCTTAGGGTCCAAAACTATGGGGTGAATAGCGAATTCGTCTAGCTGCTCTGTTCGTCTGAGACGACCACCAACTCTGATGAGGTGTGTTGTGCTGTCATACTTTGGAGCAAGGCACAGGAGGCGACTACTCATTGGTAGAGGTTTACCTGACTTAAGCTGAGCCATTTCGACTGGAAAACTTTGACTCTGTGCCTGTTGAAGGAGGGATAGTTCGGCTTCTCGATAATCCTCTGCTGTTAGCGCTTCTGTAGGGGTAGCCTCCCCGTGTAAGACTCTGGCACTAGCTGTGAGTAGTTGTTTATAGGATGCGAACTGGTTACAAACGGGTAAGGCTGGTTTGGTGACAGGAACTGTAAGTCCACAAAATGTGACTGGTTTCAGCTCTGCATCTTCAGTAGGGAGATGTAGCAAAGGACTCTGAGGCCACTGATCTGGGGGTAGCAGGAGGAATGATGGTCCTTGACTCCATCGGCTTGGCTTAGCTAACTCGGCTAACGTTTTACCCCTTGTGATATCATCGGCAGGATTAGACTTGGAATCGACGTAACGCCAGTCCTTGGGGTCTGTCAACTCCTGGATCTCGGCTACCCTTGTGCCGGTGAAGACTTTAAACCGACATGAGTCCGCTTGGATCCATGCCAGCACGGTAGTGGAATCTGACCAGAGTGTGACTTGACATGTAGAGACACTGAGTTCTGATTTCAATAATCTGGCTAGTTGTGCTCCTGTCAGAGCGGCGCACAACTCAAGACGAGGAATGGACTGTTGTTTCTTTGGGGAAACTCTGGACCGAGCAGTCAAAAAAGCTATCTCTACATATCCTTGAGGACTGACTGTTCGGAGGTAGGCTACTGAGCCATAGGCTCGCTCGGAAGCGTCACAGAAGACATGTATGTCTCGGATACTCTGTGGGTTATCCAACTCTAATGTGACGTAACATCTAGGAATGGAGATGCTCTGAATGTCTGGTAACTCTTGCTCCCATGACTGCCAGGCTTGGAGCAACTCATCTGGCAGTTGAGGGTCATCCCATTCCCTTTTCTTGTCCCACAGACACTGGACCAGTATTTTAGCTCTTGTGGTAAACGGGACAATGTACCCTAGGGGGTCATATTGACTAGCTAAAACCTTGTAGATATGACGCATAGTAGGGGCAGAGCATTCAATGGGACGATGCTTGTATGACAGGGTGTCGGAGGTAAAGTGCCAGTGTAGTCCGAGTGCAGACTCTTGCGCATCTGGTTGCACTTGAGTCAGCCACAACACCAGGCTACTTGACTTGGATTCTGATGGGATATGTTCTAGTACTTGAGGGACGTTGCTGGCCCATTGTCTAAGATCAAATCCTCCTGTGGCTAGGAGATCTCGCAACTTGGATGCCAGAGCCTTGGCTTCTTCTTGAGAACTGAAACTCTGAAGGAAGTTGTCCACGTAGAAGGACTTCTCTATACTTTCTAGGACGTCTTCACCTGGGTGACTATGGTCGATAACATGCTTCTGGAGCGCGAAGGTCGCACAGCACGGGCTGCACGTCGTCCCAAATGGGAGAACTTGCCACTCATATACTTGTGGGGACTTGTCTCGGTTGAGGTCCCTCCAGAGGAATCGTAACAGTGGGCGGTCTTCAGGTAGTAGTCGCACCTGATGGAACATGCCCCTAATGTCACTACTCAAGGCGACAGTATGTTCACGGAACCTCAGGAGTACAGACATCAGGGAAGGGCCTAGTGTGGGACCAGGGAGGAGCAATTGGTTGAGATTCTTCCCTCCATGAGCGAATGAACAGTTGAAGACGACTCTGTTCTTGCCATTATGCTGTGTCATGTGGTGGGGGATGTACCAAGACTCTTCTGATTGGTCCACTTGGTCAGGAGGTATCACTTGTGCATATCCGGCCTCCTTCAACTTGTTCATCTCCACCTGGTAGGCTGCTGCTTGTGATGGATCCCTGGTTAATCGCCTCTCTATTCCTCTAAGACAAGGCAGAGTGCTTCCTGGGGAGGCTCGCAGGAGAGACATATTTTTCACTCTTAATAAGGGCGTGGCGTATCTGGCTACTCCATCGACGGTAACTCTAGTAGTCTTGGACTCGAGCAGTGAAATAGCATCCTGATCTTGCTTCGAGCGGGTAATGAGTTTCTCGTTGCGGTAAGGGAGTACGTCTAGTTGCCACAATTTCTCAACTTGTCTGTACAGGTCAGTATACGAGCCTGAAATAGCTGTAAAGAGGCACTGCTGGCTGGGAAGGCGATGCTTTATCTCTTGCGTGGGACCTTGTAGGGTCCAACCTAGTCGGGTCTTGATGGCAGCAGGACCGTTAGGTGGGCCTAGACGGACTGGCTCTACTGGGGTGATAAGGTGAGGGTAATCCGACCCTATAAGGAGGAGAGGTTGGACAGATTCAACATGTGGCAACTGTAGACCTTGTAAATGGCGGTATTTTCGTTGTAACTCATCTACTGGATAAGTATGCTCGGCTAATCCCAACGTCTCCGCTGTAAAGGCTTGACGAA